TTAGCATTTGCCCTGACAATAGTCCAACCTTCATATTTTCCTGTAAAATATAAAATTCCTAACTAGAAATGAACTTCTGAATCAGCCTTCTGGGGCCTCTCCCCTTGCACATGTGATTGTAACAAAACTATCACATTCTCCTGAATTGTCTGAAAAGTCTTCTCACACACACCTAAGAAACAAACGGAATGGATATGTCATGTGGTTGACCTTGTGTAAAGTTAGGCCAGGAAGCTGTGCGGCAGGTGGGAACAAGTTAGAGACCGTAGAAAGTTCAGCCAAAGAAACAAGACAGGAACGCCTGGGTGGTTCAGGTCATGATCCCGGGTCTCCGGATCAAGTTCCACATCAGGCTCCCTGCGAGGAGCCTGCTTCTCCCTCTAAGTCTTTGCTTCTCTGTGTCTCTCACAAATAAATAAAATAAATAAATACAATCTTTAAAAAAAAAAAAAAACAGTAAGACAACTAGGAGAGAACAAGAAGGAAACAAAGAGGGTCTTGCAAGACTAGGTCAGGAGGCGGGGAAGCTGTTATCTGCAGGACGACACCAAATGCTGATCTGAACAGAACTCACACAGGATGATTGTACTGGATGATGGGAAGGGGAAGCGGATGGGGTCCGTGGGTGCTCAGCTCGAATCCACCAGAAAGAAGTTGACAGGCAAGGCCTAAGATGAGGAGTCAGAAGGAGTAGCACATATATGTTACTCGCAAATGGGGAGACGCGACGTGAAATGCTTGCTGAGGGCAGGCCCCTGGCAGGTGGGGTTCACTGCCAGCCTTTTAATCTTCTGAGCTTTAGAACTTGTGCATGGCTGGGGCGCCTGGGTGGTGCAGTTGGTTAAGCACCTGGCCCTTGATTTCAGCTCAGGTCAGGTCACGATCTCAGGGTCGTGAGGTCGAGCCCCATGTTGGGCTCTGCACTGGGCATGGAGTCTGCTTATCTGCTTAGGATTCTCTCTCTTTCCTTCTCCTTCTGCCCCGCCCCCACCTCTCGAAAAACAAAAAAACTTGTGCACTGTCATTCAGGAAAAAACTAAAAATGAAAACAAACCCCAAGCAGTGCTTACAACACATCTGCAATGACCAGATGAAGTAACACTTTTATTTCACTTAGACTTCTCAAGATTTCCTATCTCCTCCATTAACTTTCAAAGGGGTGCAGCAATTTGGAACAAAGACGGCACAGGGGTGAAGGGGATTTACGGGAGCTGTGCCCAGAACTCACAGTGATGGATGACAACCAGCTAAAAGTTTCAAACGGGGGCAGCCCTGGTGGCTCAGCGGTTTAGCGCCGCCTTCAGCCCGGGATGTGATCCTGGAGACCCGGGATCGAGTCCCACATCGGGCTCCCTGCATGGAGCCTGCTTCTCCCTCTGCCTGTGTCTCTGCCTCTCTCTCTCTCTCTCTGCCTCTCTCTCTCTCTGTGTGTGTGTCTCTCATGAATAAATAAATAAAATATTTAGAAATAAAAAAAATAAAAATAAAATAAAAAATAAAAAAAGTTTCAAACGGGCACAAAAGTTGGGAGTTTGACTTTAAGAACTGTGTTCCGGGGGTGGGGGTGAATGGGTGACGGGCACAGAGGGGGACACTTGACGGGATGAGCACTGGGTGTTATTCTGTATGTTGGTAAATTGAACACCAATAAAAATTAATTTATTAAAAAAAAAAAAAAAAAAGAACTGTGTTCCACGGGGACAGCCGCAGAGACGGGAGGGATATGGCTTATGGAGCCTCTAGTGGAAGTCAGGATTAACAACCCAAGTCTGGTTTTAACAAAGAACTTGCTGTTCAAAGAGAGTCTAAGTCTTATTTTAATCCCATGCAATAATCTGAAGGTTTTGCTGATGGTGGCCACGGGTCTAAGGCAGGGTTGCGTAACCATGACACAACTGCACAGCTGCCAGGCCCAAGCCACGTGACTTTCCTGTGACTCACTCAGCTCCATGTTTAATTACGTTTGCAAGAAAAGAACTAGTTTTCTGCTGTAGCTGCATAATTGATCTGGAAAAAATATCGCAACGAATAATCATTTTAAACACATTATGTGTAACCACGGAACATCAAAACAGGCCTTTACCCCCTAAAGGTTATAGGAGAATGTACTTTTTGCAGTTTTCTTGGCGGTAATTTAAATGACACAGATCGACCCTTTGTTGAAAAAGACAAGTACACGGTTCCTACGAGGTGGCGACAGTCTAGGAAACGATGGGTGAATTCCACGATGGAGCCCTGTACGCGTGCCCAGGGCCTTGCCACGCTGAGACAGGACGTTCGGGGCGTCTCTGGCTTCATCTACAAGGTGAACGGCATGAGGGTATCCCAGGAACTTATATCCAAATCTCTCTTCCCAAGTCGGTCCCCCAGGGAACACCACGGTTACGGTTCAACAGAGCCCCGAGAGGGTCTGCAGCGGCCAAGGAAGGAACTACATTCCCTCCTCTGCACACATCAGGGATCCTCTCAACCGGCAAATTCGTTAGCACAAGAATAGGAAATATTTCTAATGCCAACTACTCTTTTTTTTGGGGGGGGGGGTGTTCCCTAAGAGAGAAAAATGTGAGCTACTTAACCCTACTTGGTAGGAAAAGTCAGACTTTCCTACAAGGCCCTGCAAGACCCAAGGCCCAGACCCCTCCAACCGTCTTTGGAAAGCCGCCTTGTCCACTCACCACAGGTGCTCCCTCTGCCTTGGATGGGCTTCCAGACTGTTGCGTGACTTCCTCTTACCTAGGATGAGGATCCTCTCCCTGACTACCCTATCTCAAACTGCAACTCCACCCCCCACTCCATCCTGGTCCTTTGCTCCAGAGCACACACCACACTTCACTTTTCTCCCAACTTCTGGTCCCTGGTACACCAGAAGGGAAGCTCTCCGAGGGCGGTGACTGGCTCCTCATCCTGGCCTAACACAGGCTGCCCGCAGTAAGCGCTCAATTCAGCATGTTTAATCCACCAGAGAGCAGCCAACCAGGTTCACAAACCAGAGAACATTTAGTGTTAAAGGGATACTTCAAGATTGTAACTCTTTTTTTTTTTTCAATTCAATAGTGCTTTTCGAATGGACTACGATGGATCAGCAATCTAAACCACACGGGCTCTGAACAGATCTTGTTCAGTGTTGGGAGTGTACCTCTCAACTGCAAGTATGAGCAACATACTCTGGAGAGACGCTTCTAAACCCTTAACACACCATCTGGGACCTCAAGTACTGCCGTGTGTTGCACAGGAGTCCTTACCAAAGAAAATCTTTCATGCTGACCAGAACAACCTGTCACCCCTGGGAATCATCCTGGATGGGAAGTTCCATTAGAACATGCACTTCTGGGCAGCCCCAGTGGCTCACCAGTTTAGCACCGCCTTCAGCCCAGGGCCTGATCCTGGAGACCCAGGATGGAGTCCCACATCGGGCTCCCTGCATGGAGCCTGCTTCTCCCTCTGCCTGTGTCTCTGCCTCTCTCTCTCTCTGTCTCATGAGTAAATAAATAAAATATTTAAAAAAAGAAAGAAAGAAAGAAAGAAAGAAAGAAAGAAAGAAAGAAAGAAAGAAAGAAAGAAAGAAAGAAAGAGAAACATGCACTTCTCCCCAAGTGCCATGTCCTACGCCTGGGTCTGGTTCAGCTCATCCATCATGAACCCTTCCCAGGAACCGCAGGCAACAGGGACCTCCTGCCTGAGTCCTAATGAAGAGCCCAACCCTGCAGATTAGCCTTCTGCATAACTTTCTGGTGGAATAAAGGCTAGGCTAAATTTTAAAAAAAACTAAAACTGGGCCTGGGTGGCTCAGTCGGTTAAGTGGTTGCTCTCAGCTCAGGTCATGATCCTGGGGTCTAGGGATGGAGCCCCACATCGGGCTCCCTGCTCAGCAGGGAGTCTGCTTCTCCCTCTGCCTCTCTCCTCGCTCGTGCTCTCTAATAAGTAAATAAATAAAATCTTCAAAACAAAACAAAACCGTACTGAGTTATAAAAGAGAACGGGGTGGCTCAGGACTGCGTCCTCTAGTGGACAAAGAGAGAAGTTCAAAACCGTGACGTGCTGTTCCTTGTAGTTCAATTTTCATTCCGTTTTCTGCTACAGGCCTTTTGTTCCACAGCAATTTTTAACATTAAAAAAATTACTTCTTACAGACTGTGCATTCCATTATCCACTGCTATTATTAACAGGCCCAGCTCTTTGAAAAGACTGGACTCCTGCCTACCTCAACCCTCTCTTACATAATCCAATCCAGAAATGCTGAAGCCCATCCATGTCACGCTGCAGCCTCTCATAAATATGTGTTCTTTGGGGAAAACAAGTACACCACTGCCACGCCTCGGCCAGCTGGAATGACACCACGAAGGAAATGGGACTGAATGACAGCTGGGGAATATTCTCAAGCCAAACGAAACATCCTCCCGAGTCTCCTCGTGGGTTCCAGGCTTCCCTTCTATCACCGACAGAGCCCAGGGCACTGCATCAGCGTGCAGGATGGATGGAGGCTGTTGTCTTGGGGTGCAGCCACAGAGAAAAGGGGCACCCACATTGTGGTAGCACTTCAGCGGACTGAAAGGACAGCAGGCATCTGGAGAGGTGCAGGGCTGCCAGGGAAGACGGTGGGGTCTCAGCCCACACCACTCTGCATCAGAGCATCTCTCTTCTCATCCGTTTGTCCCCCGTTCTCGGCAGGCTCAGGCCAAGCCATGTGGACCCACGGGGGACAGCTAAGCACCCTCCTCTGTCGACACCAACACCAAACGAGAAAGAGGCACCAGCACATCACAAATGACTGTCAACATGAAGCACATTCGTTTTGTCATTTTCCATGCTAGAAACACGGTGTTCCTGCTCAGAGGGGCCCAGGATCTAATGCTTGTGATGCATCCACCAAACCAAAGGCTGAAGCAAACTCACTGAGCCGCAGAGCTGCTCCAGCAGACACACACCGAGGCCAGACAAGGCCTGGCCACCGCCACCGTGTGCAAGTGCACATTTACACTCAAGGAAAGCACCACAAAGAACAAAGCGGGGAGTAATGGTTTATTTCAGAAACACCAACACGTCCAGTCTCCCCCAGTATACGTATCCTAACACAAGATGTTAATATGGGCAATTACTACCCTTTCTCTAAAGACAAGCACGGAAAGCAGGGCAGGTGCCCACTCCGAGAGTTATGTGCTCTTGCGAGCAGCCCCCTGGGTCACCGGGAGACAACGGTCACCTCCCTCCACGGGCCCCCATTTTGAGACGGCTCATGCTCTAGGATGAGCAGGGCCCTGGGTGCTTCTGCATCATAAAGAGAACCGGGAGCGGCTCTCTACGTCACTCAGTGGGACCGGTGCTGCCAACTACGTAGCTCAGAGGCAGAAGCGACATGTCACACACAGTCATGAAAACCATAAAGTGCAGGGAAAGTCTCCTTGGGGACTGAACCCTTTTATTTACATCCACACAAAACAGGGTCTTGAGCAGATCAGGCTTCAGAAGTTACAGGTTGAGTAAATGAAAGCAAAGAAACCTAGGAAGTTCTAAACCCCCAACAACGACACTCCAGGTTCCCGGGACCAGGCAGCAAAGACACCAGCACGCGTTCAGCCTGCACACAGATCTCCCAGCGAACTCACCTGCAAAGAAAGTACACTGGTCAGTTCTCATCGCACCTCAGCAAATCAGTTAGCGCCACAAACTGCCCTCCCAGATCCAGTAACTCCACCCAGGAGCGCACCTGGAAGGTGCCCTGCAGGGGCCCGGCCCCCACCAGCTCCCCCGCCTTCCAGGTCTGCGGACTCCAGTGAGGCCTTGGCCACCCAGCCACCTCTAATCTACACGCAGCCTGGAGCCTCAGATACCTGCCAGCTTGGAAAGCCACAATGAACCCAGACCCTGACAAAGTCCCTAAACCCCGCACCAGCCTGTGCATTCCCGTATTTCCTCCCCTGCTTCCAGCCGTACAGTTCCCCAGTTTGGCCCCAACTGACGAGCTGCCCACATCCTAAGGCATTTCCACCCCCTACTGCCCTTTGCTGTATTCCACCTGCTGGGAACAGCCTTTATGTCCTTACGGGACCACATTCCTTTAGGTCCTACAGATGGGGATGATGTCCCCTCCCGCCCCCCGTGGCTGCGCAGCACTCACGATGCCCACGTCTCTAGATTCTAAGCCCCTTCCTGGCGACTGCTTTTCCTCCCCGCCTGGCCCCAGCACAGATGTTAACAGTAATGCTCTGACCGCTGCAGGCACTTCTCCATCTGTGTTCTGACTACCAACCAGGCAAGGGGATGGAGCTACTTCACAAGGGGCAGGCTGACCTCCAGCCAACAGCATAAAGGTGCTGCTACGTGTGAGCTCCTCAAAGATTGGGGGGTTCTCCAAAAGTAGAATCTTGGGATTCCTGGGTGGCTCAGTGGTTGAGGTCTGCCTTCAGCTCAGGGCGTGATCCGAGGGTCCTGGGATCGGATCCTGCATGAGGCTCGCCACAGGGAGCCTGCTTCTCTCTGCCTATGTCTCTGCCTCTATGTCTCTCATGAATAAATAAATAAAATCTTAAAAAAAAAAAAAAAAGCCAAACAGGGCAGCCCAGGTGGCTCAGTGGTTTAGCGCCCCCTTCAGCCTAGGGCGTGATCCTGGAGACCCGGCATCCAGTCCCACGTTGGGCTCCCTGCACGGAGCCTGCTTCTCCCTCCGCCTGTGTCTCTGCCTCTCTCTCTCTCATGAACAAATAAATAAAATCTTTAAAAAATTAAATTAAATTAAAAATAAAAACAAAGAGACAAAGCAGAATCTCTGAGCACCTGGGTGGCCCAGGCAGTTAAGCCTGTGCCTTCGGCTCAGGTCATGACCCCAGGGTCCTGGGAGAGAGCCCTGCACCAGGCTCCTTGCTCAGCGAGCCTGCTTCTCCCTCTCCCTCTGCCACTCCCTCTGCTTGTGCTCTCTGTCAAATAAATAAATAGCATCCTTTAAAAAAATATTTATTTACTTGTGAGATGCACAGAGAGAGGCAGAGACACAGGCAGAGGGAGAAGCAGGCTCCCTGCAGGGACCCTGATGCAGGACTTGATCCCAGGACCCCAGGATCCTGGGGCAGATACTCAACCACTGAGCCACCCAAGTGTCCGTCCCATAAATAAATAACTTTAAAAAAATTTTAAAAAAAGGCAGACTCGTCTCAGCCTCTACCTCGGGGGGAATGAGGTGCAGAAGACGTATGATGAGAGTGTCTGTGTGGTGTGATTCCAATAAAGCCACCCCTGTGCCTGCAGCACACGCTAGACCTGTGCTGTCTAACATGGTGGCCACTGGCCTCGGAGGAGCACTTACGATTATATTATAATGAAACATCTAGGTCCCCAGTAGCACCGGCCACACTGCCCCGCGTGGCCTGTGGCCACTCTACGGGACAGTGCAGATAGATAGAGGCCATTTCCAACACTGCAGGAGGTTCCACCGGACAGCACCGTCCTGTACATGGTGTTCTCTGGGAATTACACATTTTAGCACATCGGCCTCATGTTTCGTTTTGTTTGTTTTTTTTTAAGATTTTATTTATTGGGCAGCCCAGGTGGCTCAGCGGTTTAGCGCCGCCTTGGGCCCAGGGTGTGATCCTGGAGACCTGGGATCGAGTCCGACGTCCGGCTTCCTGCATGGAGCCTGCTTCTCCCTCTGCCTGTGTCTGTCTCTCTCTGTTGCTCATGAATGAATAAATAAATAAAATATTTTTTTTAAAAAAGATTTTATTTATTTATTCAGGAGAGACACAGGCAGAGGGAGAAGCAGGCTCCATGCAGGGAGCCGGATGCAGGACTCAATCCCAGGTCTCCAGGATCACACCCGGGGCCAAAGGCAGGTGCTAAACCGCTGAGCCACCCAAGTACCCCCCCCCCGCCCCCATTCTTAGGAAAGATCAAAATGCTCAGGTGAGCCACAGGCCCCGCGGGGTCTGGCCCTTCCCACCTCTTCGGCTCGGCCCCACAACATTCCCCCAGCTTTGCGGGTTACAATGGTTTTCTCCAGGTTCCTCCGCTGCTAGCGCACCTGCTGGGCCCCCGGGCCTTTGCACATGCCGCCGGGAGACCTCCCAAAGAACCCCCCCCCCCCACACACACACACACACGCATCCTTGCAGGGTCCAGCCCGAGGACCCCACCCTGACCCTCCTCCTGATGTAACTGCTAACAGGGCTGTGCCTCCCTCCACGCCTCTGACCTCCGCTTGAACGACGCCCTCTTTAGGGCAACCGTTCACCTCCTCTCCGGGCCGGGGCCGTAAGTAGCTCCCGGGGGCACCAGGCCCCGCGCTGCTCTGCTCACCCCCGCGACCCGCTGCCGCGCAGCACGGTGCCCCGTGCAAGTGCCAAGTACCGACGGGCGTCTACGGAGCCAGCTCTGCTCCCAGACTGCGGGAGCCAGACCTCCGCGCGGGTCCTGTTTGCAGTATCATACATGATCATCAAACTGCTGCTAGAATGCTCACACCTGTTACTGCAAATCCAAACCCCGGGGGGGACTGGGCCCCCCCCGGGGGATTTTACTCTAGGTCAGGCTCGGGCTGCCTGGTACAAGGCTGCACCGCACCCGGGCAGGTGCGGCCACACAGGAGCCCTTCCGCAGACCATCGGCCTCAGGCCCTTCGTCCCGGCGCCGGACCTACCTGGACGGAAGGGCCGCCGCGGCCCGCCTGCGCCCCATCGCCGGGGACCGGAGCTAACCCTGGGGACAGAGGCGCCTCCCCCGCCGCGGCCCCTGCGGCCCAGGCTGGAGCCAGTCACCCCGCGCCCGACACGCGGAGCCCCGCGCCGCCGCCCGCTCCCCGCTCCCCGCCCCCCCACGGCGCGGAAGCCGCTCCGCACACGCACTTCCGGCCGGAAGTGACGACGCACCACCGAGGCGGCGGCCAGAGAGTCGCCGGAGGCTCTGAAACCCGGTCCTCCAAGGCCCTCTTAAAGGGGCCGAGGCCTGCGGGGGCCGGTTCGGGAGGATGGGCGCCCTGGCAGGCGGGGAGGGTCCTAGCGCCAGGGATGCAGAAGGGACGCCTGTTTGCGGGGCTCCTCCCAGCTGTGGCGTATGCCAGAGCCCCATTTCTGCTGGTGACTAACATGCCACCCTAACAGACGGGGCTTTCAAGGTCGTGTGCAAACCACGAGGACTGTGGGAATCCCATACAGCCGACTTGGGGGCAGTGGGGACTTGCTCCAGTTGACATAAAGACCGAAACTGCCTGCCTCTTCAGCACAGATGGCCCGAGCAGCCAGAGCAGGGACTGCATGTGTCCTGAGCTCCCGGGCCCCCCTGTCCTCATTGCCCAGGGGGGGTCCCTGTAAGGCCGAGCTACTGCTGACCGCCCCCCCCAAGGTGCTGGGGGCTCCCCTGGAACCATCCCAGGCCAGGGTGAAGCTGCAGCCTCTGGCGTCTGGCCTCCTCTTTCGGGACCCTCAGTACCATCCTGAAAGAGCGTGGGGTCTTGCAGGTACAGGTGGCAGAAACCCAACCTGATGCACACTAAAAAGTGGCCTCACTCGTTCGTGTAGGTGATGTTGTCCAGGGGTGGAGCAGCTGCACGGGCTCAAGGGCCCGGTCGCGGGATGCAGACACCACAAGCCTCTCTGGGTGGCTCCCCTCCGTCCTCCCCTCTCCAGCCCCAGGAGGGAGAGCCGGGGTGAGGAGGGGTGCGCAGTGCACAGGTCCCCGCAGAAGCCACCTGCCTGTGTGAGGCCAGAGGGACAGGGCAACCGTGGGTCTGACTCCCAAGGCTGTCCGTGCCCTAATCCCTGGACCTCACAGTGCAGAGGGCACTTTGCAGATGTGATGAAGTTAGGGACCCTGGGGTGGGGAGATTGCCCTGGACTGTCCAGGTGGGCCCCATGGCATCGCGAGGGGCCTTGTGAGACAGAAGCAGGACAGTGAGAGACCCAGCGGAGATGTGACACTGGAAGCTGCTGAACTTGAAGGTGGGGAAGGGGGGCCCACGAGCCAAGGAACACGGTGGCCTCTAGAAGCTGGAAAGAGCAAGGCAAGTCTTCTCCGCTGGAGCCTCCCTGCAGACACCCCGGATTGTCACGTTTGACTACGAGGGAGTTTGCAAAGTAAAATCTTTTAACTGACTGCTCCTGTTGCGGGAGGGACAGGGGTTATGGGGAGGTGACTGTGGTCTCTGCCTCCGGAGCTGTGCAGGCTGTTTGGAGGCTCGAGGATGAGAGGGCCAGGTGACAGCTGGTGCTCAGGAAGCGATGTTTGCTGAAATGGCAGATGTGCTTCTCCGTGTCTTCCTTTTCAAAACGTCCCCTCCGATCGCCGAGCACATTTCCACCTGGAGCAGGAGCTCTGCAGGTTGGCAGTGATGAACTGATTTGATGTAACAGTCGCGTTGGTGTGACAACCTCTTCCCGGAGGGGGAGGGGCGCAGCTCGCAAGAGTCCCCATGGAGAGGAAGAAACAGTCTCCAGGCTTGGGGTGCTGCCTGGTGATCAGCCGAGTGATTCCGGCTCATCGGAATGAGGACTCTTTATCCCTTTCCAGTCTAGTGGCTCAGAGAGGCCCGGAGGAGCTGGCCAAGCCCTGTCACCACTCTCAGTGGCTCATGGTGTCCTGACTCAGAGGCCGAGGGACTGGAGCAAGCCTGGGGTTCAGCAGACGACAGTTATCTTCTGTACCCACCTTGAGAGACTTCCTTTTGGGGCCCAGGGAGTCCCGGGTATTGTTCGCCTTTGGACCTGACACCCCCAGCACACACACACCCCCCATGCCCACCCCGTTCTGAGGAGGTGCCCGTCCTGCCCTGGCTTTGGAGCTCTCCCCAGGCTGCAAACATGTTCTGGAGGCTGCGAGCAGATCTGCTCCATTCTGCCTTCTGTGCCAGTGGGAGCTGGGGCCCCCCATGTGCCCAGATTTATGCCCTTGCCTGCTGAGCACAACCAGGCAGCCCCACAGCCCACCCATCTTGGGGTTACATGCTTTCCTGCAGCAGCTGCTGCATTCGTTTTAAACTATTTATTTAGCCGGGCACTCAAAGGGCTTCTGATGACTGTCACTCTGCGGGGCTGCAGGAGCCAATTTCCTGAGGGTGATAGATTTCTTCTCATTTGCTGCTCTCAAGCTGTGGGGTCCTTCTGGGTGTTGGAGGAAAACATTTTCAAAAGATGCCATCTTCGGAGACTGTTCCCCAGGGTGCAGTGGGAACGGGGTTGTCCTGGGCTGCCCCCACTTGATGCTTTCTGCACAAAAGTAGGGAAGTTTCAGGGCCCTGAGAGAGGCACAGTGGAAGCCAGGCTGAGCCTGGGAGGGGAGGGGAGGGGAGGGGAGGGGAGGGGAGGGGAGGGGGGGAGGGGAGGGGAGGGGAGGGGAGGGAGCCTAGGGGTTAGGTGGAGGGGAGGGGAGTGGAGCTAGCCTCCAGCTCCTGTTTGGATGTCCTCAGAGCTCTGGTTCTCAACTTGGCAGCCCATCAGAATCACCTAAGAGCTTAGAGCCTGACATTAGGGACGCCCCTACCCCGCCTCCCAAATACTGATTTTATGGGTCTGGGGTGTGGCCTGGGAATCAGGATGTTGTGGGATCCAGCCAGGGGTCTCCCTCTTCTCCCTCTCCCTCTGCTCTTCCCTCTCACCCTCATGCTCTCTCTCCATCTCTGGCTCTCTCAAATAAATAGAATATTTTTAAAAAATAAAAATAAAAAATAAAAGCTCCCAGGTCATTCTACTGCGCTAGATTGAGGTGCTCTAAGATGGTCTTGCGGGTGTGAGCAGACCTACATAGTCCCCTGCCGAGAGAGGCTGTCCGCTTGCAAATGGGCTAAAGGATATGAGCACACTTTGAATGGGGTGCAAGCGCAGCCCCCTCCCCAGGGCTCACCTGGCTTGGAGACCTGGCTTGGAGGAGCCAAGCTCTGATGATTGCAGCTCTGATGATTGGCGGGGGGGGGGGGGGGGGGGGGGGGGGCTGTTAGAATGTAGAAAAGTGAAATAATTTTTGTCCATAACAATACAGATGGATTTTGTCCCGCAGAGATACAACTGGGGTCTGGGTCCTCAGATGACCTCAAACATTCTATGTGACTGCCCCCCCCCCCGGACCCTGACCAGTGGGGCATCGATTAGCAAACCCATTCTAGCAATCCTGATTGCCTATATACATGGCTGATTTTCACATTGTCTTTTCTAGTGGTCTTAATATCTTACTGGTTTCCTCACTAATTAACAAGTTGGAAAAAATTACTTCTACATACTTGTTTTATATGTGATACTCATGTTTATAACAATTGGGGAAAGTATAATTTACCCCCACCCAGGGAGAGTGGGGTGCCCCTCCCTCCTCTCCCTCTGCACCTTACATGCCACCCCACTGTGGCTCCATCCTGCTGCGTGGTCTGCTCCACCTGCTTGTCTCCCCGACTGCATCAGGACCACGAGGGCCTGTGTTTTACCTGCTAGTTAGAACCTATGATGTTGGGATCCCTGGATGGCTCAAGCGGTTTAGCGTTGCCCTCAGCCCAAGGAGTGATCCTGGAGTCCCGGGATCGAGTCCCACATCGGGCTCCCTGCATGGAGCCTGCTTCCCTCTCTGCCTCTGTCTCTGCCTCTTTCTGTGTCTCTCATAAAAAAATAAATTTTTAAAAATCTTTTTTTAAAAAAGTGATCTCTGCACCCAATGTGAGCCTCAAACTCACAAACCCAAGATTAAGAGTGCACGCTCTACTGACAAGCCAGCCAGGCGCTGCTTACCTGGGGCTTTATTGCAACTCTTCCTGAAACGTCACTATTAAGTCTATTAGTAGTGGGCTTTTGATGAATCCTGTTAATCCGGTAGGAAGGGAAAAAAAATCCAGTAGGAAGGTTATTTTTTTTTTTTAAGATTTTATTTATTTGAGAGAGAGAGCATGAGCAGGGGGAGGGAGAAGCAAGCTCCCCACTGAGCAGGGAGCCAGCCATGAACTGGATCCTAGGACCTTGAGATCATGACCTGATCCCAAGTCAGACCCTCAACTGACTGAGCCTCCCAGGTGCCCTGGGAAGTTACTTTTTAATTCTAGTTTGTTAGAGTGTTTTAAAATCAAGAGTGACTATGATTTGTATTGGGTATGTTTTCTAGAACCGTTGGGACAGTCACATAGCTGTTCTCCTTTAACCTGGAGGGCATTAAGAACGTTTGTGATCTTATTATTTTTACATGCCTGGAATAAAGCACAATTTTGTTTGATGTTGGCAAAGCTAAACTTGCTGTTATTTAATTTCCATATCTTGCACGTATCTTCAGAAGTGAGCTGGGTCTTTACTTTTCCTTCTCCCACAGGCCTTTGTCAGGTTTTGGCTTTAGATTGGGTGCTGCTGATCCCATTCCCAACCCCTTTTCCTTCTGAAACAAGTATTTAGGAAATACTTGTTCATTTTTTTTTTTTAAAGTAAGCTCTATCCCCAACGAGGGTATTGAACCCTCAAAATCAAGAGTCGCATGCTCCACCGATGGAGCCAGCCAGGTGCCCCTGAAACAAATATTTTCCTTGGTGTTTGAAGAGTGGGGAGCAGAGAAACATGAATACTGATTCAATTTCTTTAATGTTAATTGTTTTATTCAAGTTTTCCTCCTTAAGTCAATTTTGGCAATTTACATTTCTTTCGAAAATTCTCCATTTCATCTAAATTTTTAAATGTGTTGACATAAAGTTGTTCATAGCATTCACATATAATTTAAAAAATCCCTAACATTAGTATATAATTTTAAAAATCTCTACTATGGGATCCCTGGGTGGCGCAGCGGTTTGGCGCCTGCCTTTGGCCCAGGGCGCGATCCTGGAGACCCG